GGGGTGAGCACCCCTATGCAACCCTGCCTCGCTCCCCTCGGCCGTCCGGCCGTGGCACCCAGCGTCACCTCCCCCCCGGGGCCCCTGGCACGGGGTGTTCTGCCAGCAAGCGTGGTGACCTCTCCCTCCACAGCCCCCACCGCTGCAGTGGCACCCAGGGCGAGCACCCCTCCCATCTCCACAGGTCCCCTCCAGGTCAGCATGGACCTGGGCCAGTGGCTGCCTCAGGCAGCAATACCTTGAGCAGCTCCTTGTTGGCAAAGGCCAGGATCCCTTCGAACACGATGACGTTGGCCCCGTACACCGTTTTCTGCAGGCAGACAGGAGCTGTGCTCGTCCTGCCCTCCTCTCCCGCCACAGCAGCACCAGCACAGACGCTCCCTGGCACCCCCAGGCTCTCACCAGTGTGGTGGGGCTCCCCATAACCATCCTGCACCACCCAACCTCTCGGGGTCCTTGCTCACACCTGCCCACCACACTCCAGCCGAGCACAGACTCTGAGCCTGGCTCCGGACCCCAAACCTCTGCCCAACACCTTCCCCCCAGCTCTCATCCTTCCTCCACACTGAGCCTCTCCCTGAACTCTGTGCCGGCCTGTTCTGAGATCCATTCCCATGCTCCTGCTGCCTCTACACCTCCAGTATGAGCCTAGAACGAACCCCCCACATCTGATGATCCCCAGCCCCTCCCTGCCTTACTCTCCCAGCTCCCAGAGGTGCTCCCCTTCCTGGGGCTCTGACCCCCAGGCCCAGCCCGGCCCTGAGGCACCCACCCACTCACGGCGCCGGCTGTGCGTGGTGAAGTCGTACACTGGCACCTTCACGCTCTTGCCCTTCTTCAGCTTGCGCAGGACACTGATGAGCAGCTCGAAGTCAAAGGCATCGGGGTGGTCAAAGTTGTAGTCGCTGCGGGCTGCCAGCGCCTGCTGCCCCTCGTCCAGCACCTGCAGGCACCAGCACCACTCAGTGCCACGCTGGATCCCTGAGCACTGCACAACCCCCAGGCGCTGGCACCGCTCAGCGCTGCGCTGGACCCCTGGCACCAGAACCGCCCACGGCCGCACGGGACCCCCTCACCTTGTAGAAGGAGTCCATGGAGAGAAGCACGACCCAGGGCACGTCCAGCGCCTCGATGATCCGAGTCGCCACCGTGGTCTTGCCCGAGGCGCTGCCGCCGCACAGGCCTGCAGGGAACGGGGAGGGGAGCACCGCCCCGGCCCCGGATCCGGCTTCAGCTCTGTCCCGGTCCCAGCCCCTCCCCGGCCGTGCCTC